CATTGCTCGTGCCTGCCGGTCGATTGCTCAGCGCTGGATTGCTTCTGCCTCGATCCCTCACTCGGCGTGCCTGGGTGAGTGTGAGTGTGAGTGTGTGAGTGTGAATGTGAGTGTGAGTGTGTGTGTGAGTGTGAGTGTGAGTGTGAGAGTGAGTGTGTGTGAGTGTGTGAGTGTGTGAGTGTGTGAGTGTGTGAGTGTGAGTGTGAGTGTGAGTGTGTGTGAGTGTCCCTGAGTGTGTCTATTTGGTGTGTTTGTGTCTGAGTGTGTGTTTGTGTGTATTTTTGTGTGTATTTTTGTGTGTGTTTGTGTCTCAGTGTGTCCCTCGGCCGCCCAAAGAAGCACAGGCACAGGTTGGCAGCAGGGAGCACTTTACCAAGCTGGCAAGATAAAAAGTACAACATTCCATGGTTGGCACCTTGGCGGCCCCCAGCCCGGGGGCTCTTCCCGGGCCCTCACTGCCTTCACAGCAGGACAGCCACGGCCAGAGCGAGCCCAGCGGGGAGCCAGAGCCAGGGACGGGCACTGAGCCAGGCAGAGCCCCAGGCAGAGCCCCAGGAAGAGCCCCAGGAAGAGCGAGTTCCTCCAGCCAGGGAAATCAGGATCTCCATCGCACAGCCCATCTCCATTCCATGGCCAGTCTCTGTCCCTCAGTTGACCTCTGGCCCACTTGGCCATTCGCCCCGGCAGCGTTGGCCACTCCAGCTGCCAGTGGTGCTGGGGCTGTTGCAGGGAGGTCCCTGCCCCGTGCCTGCCCCCAGCCCCCTTTGCCGGCTCCGTCCTGGTTTCCTGAGCAGTCATGTGCAAAATGTACCCGTCCCCAGAGCTTCCCAAACTGTGCCCTGGCTCCATCCCACACCAGCACCCTGCCACTGGCTGGGGCCACAGGATGGGGGTGAAATGTGGACATTCGTTAGAGCTTTTTTTTGTGTGTGTGTTTTTTTTTTTCCTGAGTTTCTCAGCCTGGCTCTTAATTACAGGCTTAAATCTGCAGCCCTGGGAGAGGAAAGGGAGAGATGGGCGAGTACCAGGAGGGAGGAGAGGGGAACCAACTGGAGCCTCAGTGTGATCAGATCGAGGGTGGGGGCAAGGATGGGGAAGTGTTTGCCCAGGCTGTGCTCCCGGGGATGCAGAGCTCCTGGTGGGGCAGAGACCCCCAGAGCAGCCCAGGCTCCTTGGAGGGGCAGCTGAAGCGCTGCCCTGGTGCCCTGCTGCTGCCTGGACCCACTGCACAGGAGGGCTGGAGTGTGTGGAAACACATCAAGAAATCCAGCAGAAATTTCCTTAAACACCGTTTCCTTGTCAGCCACGGCTGGCCCTTCCTGTTTCTCCGGGCTTGTGTTCCCTCCCCAGAGCATGGCCTCTGTCCAGCCTCCCAGGCTGGAGCCAGGCCAGGAAGAGGCAGCTGGGGCTGAGGGGGACAAATCCCACCTGGAATGTGCAAACCCTCCTCCATGGCCCCTGCATGCCCTGATGGCACGTGTCCCGCTCGGCCTTGCTCAGCTCCCTGGTGGCCAGTGGGCACGGGTGAGTGGTGGGCAGCCCTGGGGGGGCCCAGGAGTCACCAGGGAGGTGGCTCAGGTGATGTCCATCTGGATTCCAGCCACCATCTCGGGAGCATCCCAGGATCTCTGGTGGTCAGGGCAGCAGGAGAAGTCGCAGGGTCTGTCGGGGAGATGCAGGAGGCAGAGCTGGGGCTGAGCTTCCTTCCCATGGCACAGCACCCCCATCACCCCAGCTGGGTGCAGGGACCCCCGGCACGGGGGCTGGAGGGAGTGGGGTGGCTCCCAGTGGCTGTGCAGTGAGGCCAGGGGGCTGGCAGTGGAGAAGACCCCGGGGTTTGTTTTTGGACTGAGAGCTGAGGAGCTCCAAAATGCAGCATTTTGGGGGCTTTCAAGGGCTGGGGGTTTGGCTTGAGGTGGTGGCGCTGGCTGTGGATGCTGGGTGCCAGTTCCCTGTGTGACAGGGAGGATGCTCAGGGCAATGACAGGGAACCTCTTGTGACTCCTCGAAAGCAGCCGCAGATCCAGCCGAGCCCCTGGCGTCTTCCCAAAGTGCATCTGTGTGTCCAGCTGAATTCAGCCAGGGGACCTCTGCATGGGAAACTCAAGGTACAGCGTCAAAGGGAAGAGAATCAGACATCACCACCACTGTGCATTAGAAAAGCTGTTTAAAGTACCACATGCCGAAGGGACCAGAGAGTCCGAAGCTGCTTCGCTGCGGGCACCGGGCGGCACCGGGGCTGTGATCCTGTTCCGCTTCCTGGGCAGGCACCTTCAATCCCAGGAGCTGGCTCAGCCAGGGCCAGTTCCAGCCGCTTCCCTCGTGGGAAGGGCCCAGAGTCATGAGGACTTGGGCTCCGGCCGCTGCCTCTCTGCCAGCAGCTCTCCAAGTAAGGAACAAAAGCAGAAGAAGCCCCCAGCAGGACACAGGGGCTCCCCAGCAGCCAGGACAGCCCTTTGCAGCAGCGCTCCCTCTGCAGCCATCGCCACCCCTCCGGCTGGAGGGGCCCCTGTGTCGTCAGGGCTGGCTTTTGGGGCTGTTTGCACCGTCCAGCTCAGGGGCAAACTCTGTGATGACCCTCCGGGCCAGCGGGTTCGTGGTCTTGAGCAGTTCAGCAGCAGATGGCCGAGTACCGGGGCTGGTTTTGCTGCTCTTCTTCTGCAGCAGGGCTTTAAAATCCTCGTTCCTGCTGGAAGACTTCCCACTGCTGCCTGCTGCTGCTGCTGCTGCCAGGGACTCGCTAGTTGGGGAGCCTGAAGTCTTTACAGGTGAGTGGGAGGTGGGTCGGCTGCTGAAGGTGTCCCCAGGCTCTTTCCGCCCCAGGACCTTCCTCTTGGACCTAGGCACCAAAGGGACACAGGTGGGAGCAGTCTGGGGCTGGGGTGAGGTCCCAGAGAGAGGGGCGTGGTGGTGCCCAGCCTGCTCTGCTGGGGCAAGGTGACAACAGGAGCATGGCAGGTGGTGCTCCTGGCAGGCAGGACTAATCTGGACCCTCCCTGCTGGTCGCACTCTGCTCAAGGCAGCAGCAACCGGGCTATCCCCAAGGATGAACACTGGCCCCAGTATGGAAAACAGAGGTGTTGTGGTGGGGGGACACTACACCCAGAGCTGTGACAGTGGTGGGGTGCAGTGGGCACAGAGGCTGTCCCCTCCAGTGCATGTCCCAGCCTTACCTGTGGATCACTGTGAAGAGATCCTCGGTGGTGCGGGACGTTGTGAACACTTCATCATCCTCCTCCACGATGGACTCGGCCGTCTTGTCGCTGGCAAAGCTCTTCTCCTCCGCACCAGCTTCTGCTGAGCTGCCTGTGGGGCAGGGAGAAGACAGCAGTGAATGCCCTGTGCAGTCACACCCTATCCCTGGGGTGATCCCTCCACAGGGGTGAGGAGACCCTCACCTTGCTCCGGGGCGGGCTCGCTGGCAGGGATGGTGCCCACAGCCTCGGGGGATGGCGGATCCTCAGCGTCAGGGTCGCAGCAGGCAGGGTCAGTGTCCAGCGTGATGATGGGGCTGGGGGTGGGTGGCAGGTCCCCCACAGCAGCTCCCAGCTGCGCCGGGGCTGGCATGAGCGGCAGGTAAAGCACGCTGGGTTTTTTGGGCACTGGCGGTGGCACCTTGGCCTTCCTGCGCTCCCCCTCGGCGCCGCCCCGCTCGTCCAGGCTGCCCTGCGAGAGCCGCCGGGGCCCCGCCGGGGTGAGGGACAAGTGGGGCTCCCCCAGAGCCCTCCTGAGCTCCCCTCTCCGCAGCACCACGAAGGCATCCTGTGCCAGCCCCTTCTCCTTGGCGGCAGTGCCCGGTGGGGATTTGGGGGACAGGGGCCCCTCCTCCCGCACAACTGGGGGCTTGGGCAGGATGCACGGGGGGCGCCTGGCCAGTGGCGGCTTCTCTGCCACGGGTGGCTTCACTTTCTTCTCTGGCCCCGTGCAGGGGACACGTGCTGGCTCCTCCGTGTGCTCCGGGCCGTCGGCGCTGTCCTCTGGCTCTGAGCGGCTGACGGAGCGGAGGCGCACGGAGCGCAGGTCGGACTGTGTCACCACGGGCATGATGGGCGCGATGGCACCGCTCTTCTGCGCCAGCTTGGTGCCAAAGGTGGAGTCAGAGTGGTGCCGGCTGACCTTGGTCTTGCCCTTCAGGGAGATCTTCAGCCCTGAGAGGTCGAGGTGGGCGGGTGGAGTGAGCGGCAGGTCGAAGGACAGCCTGCCCTTGGGGCTCCTCTCCATGGGGGACGTGGGGGGCAGAGAAGATTTCCTCTCGGGGACCAGCGGCCTCACACGCACCTGGTGCGGGGAGTGCCCCAGGATGCTGGAGGTGGGTACGGTGGGGGTTGGGGTCTCCGACTGACTGGAGTACCCGCTGGATGGGGACATCAGCCCTGTGGGCCTGCCTGGCGAGGAGGTCTTGAGGTCTGCCTCGGCAGAGAGCTGGGAGGGCGTCGTGGCCCTGGAGACCGAAGGGGACACGAGGGACTCAGAGCTGCCCCGTGTCTTGGCACACTCCACGGCCGTGGTCCCTGTGGTGGTGCTTGAGCCAGAGAGGGACTGGTAGGGATCGCTGCCGGCCCTCCAGTCCGTGACGTGCCACGGGTGGGGACCAGCCGCGCTGTTGGGCTCCCTGCCCGCGCTCCCCTGCGGGTCGGCGTGCACCAGCCGGTGACCCTGCAGCTCCGGGGGGATGCACAGGCTCTTGGGCCGCTGGTCCTTGGGCAGCGCCGCGCTCAGCCCCGCGTCCCCGTCCTGCCCCTCTTTGATCAGCGACACGCTGCGTGTGGGTGGCGAGGGCTTCTTCTTGGCCTTCTTCAGGGAGATGCTCTTGGAGCGCCGCCGCCGCTGCCCCTCGGGCTCCAGCCCCAGGGAGATGTTGTCGGTGCTGGTGCTGCCCTCGGAGCTGGCGCTGGGGTAGCCCAGGGCGTAGTTGGCGCTGCCCCGGCGGGTCTCGGCGTAGGCAATGTCCACGGAGCACAGGGACCCCGAGTCAGTGGGCACCGACAGCGAGCGCTCACGGAAGCGGCACCCTGCCCGCTCCACCTCCAGCTGCGCCGGCCCCGCCGCCGGCTCCTCTCGGCTTCCCGGCAGGAAATTCCCCTTGGCTCCCTGGGTGCACCCGGAGCTGGGCGGGGAGGCAGGCACTGGGCCGGAGAAGAAGCTGGGCCCGTTGGTGCCCACGCGCTCCTCTGTGGCGATGAAGAAGGAGGTGGAGGTGGCCGGTGAGCCCGGGCCGGGCGATGCGATGGAGCCGCCCGGAGAGGTGCAGGTGGGCCCCTTGCCCGGGCCAGTGCTGAGGCTGGGGGGGCTCCCATAACCCAGGGGGCTCCAGGGCGGGGAGAAAGGGGTGCCCTGCGTCCCATTGCAGGCACTGGCACAGGGGTTGGCTGCCCCATCCATGGCAGCAGGTGGCTGGCAGCAGCGGGCCCCGAGGTCACTGAAGGTTTTCCTCAGCGGGGCCGAGAGGGGCGGATGAGGGCTGATCTCCTGGGGCGGCGTCCCCCCGCTCGTGGTCTCAGGCACGAAGCTGCAGGACAGGGACTCAGCGATGGGCGCGTGGGTGCTGGATGTGGGGCCGTTGGCGCTGCCTGTGGGGACAGACACAGCCTGGTCAGCACCGTCTTGCCTCGCTCACAGGGACACGGCCCTGCCTCCACGCCGGCCCAGTCTTGAGGCTGCACCTCTGCCCAGGTGCGGATCTGTTGGCTGGAATGTGCCATGGACAAACCAGCAGCCACGGCAGGAGGCCCTACCCATGGGGACATCAGTCCCATGGCAACCAGAGTGCTGCCCTGGTGCTGCTCCATGGTGGGGACACAGATGGGGCTCAGGAGGAGCCAGTCAGGCACTGCCAGCTGAGACAGGGAGGGACGTGGTGGCTCACAGTGCCACCTGTCACAGCACAGCCAGGATGGGGAAGGAGCCAGCAGCCCTGCTCTGAACACCCCCAGCAGGCAGGGATGCTCAAGGCTGTGGTGGGCCGAGGTCTGACTGACTCCAAGGGAGGAGCTGTGACAACCAGTCGATGGTCTGACCACTGCCACGGGAAGAAACCTCCCTCCCACCCCGTGAAAACTGCCTTGGAGCAGCTGGTGCCATGGCTTGCCCCCACAGAGAGGCTGGCTCTGATTTCTCTGCACCTTCCATAGGGGACAGCAGGACAGAGCCCCTGAGCCACAGTGGCTGCTGCTCCCAAGGGTCCGATGCCACTCCAGGCACTCTCGCATGCACACCCTTGGCCCTGGCGTGGCCAGCTCGCCAGCCCCAGCAAAGTGTGGCCAGGTGTGCGCCCCGCAGCCACGGCACCCTGCCACAGGGTCTGCCCGTGGGGAAGGCGGGCACAGGGAGCTGCTGGAGCCGGGGCTGAGTGAGGCTGGGTGACTCCTGCCTCAGAACCCTGACTCAGGACGAAGGGGCTGTCCCAGATGCCACGCCAGCCCCAGGCCAGCCCAGTGTCACCAGTGTGCCCAGCGGCTTGGGAGGGCTCAGAGTCAGTGTGGTGCCTGCACGTCCCCGCAGTCAGGGTGTCTCCAGGAGCCCGGCTGTGCCTGGGCTGGCTGTGCCACCACCAGGGCAGCTCTGGGGGTGCCAGCCCTGCCCGGGCGCCGCCTGCGCGGTTCTTGCCGTCACCTTGGTCTCGCAGGGACAGGTTAGGGAATCCAATAATGGTCCGTCTGCGCCGCAGGGTGGACTTGGGGTTCATCGCGGTCTCTGTGTTAAACAGGGAGTGACGAGCACTCGCGTGCCTAGCAAAGTGCTGCCCTGTAGCCAAAACAAACAGCCAGGCTGGCAGCTCGGCCCCCTCCATCACCCGTGTTCTCTGCGTGTCCCCAGCCTGGGATGGTGGCACGGGTGGGAGCGTGGGATGCAGGGGGATGGTGTGAGCCGTGTGGGGTGAGCACGGGGCAGATGGAGGCACGGTGGGAATGCTGCAGATGAAGGTGGGATGGGTGGAAAGCTCCAGAAACCAGCCCCGTGCTGCGTGACAGGCACTGGTCTGTGCTGGTGAGGCCGGACCCCGCAGCGCCGTGCTGAGCCAGACGGGGCATGGGCACATGAGGCATGGAGAGGGACCAGCATGGCCCTGGCACAGCTCTCCACGATGGAGGGAAAGGCAGACAGACACCTCTGCCCTCAGAAGAGGCACCTCACCCAGCCACCAGCCCCAGACTCTGACCTGGGCCAGAGCGTGGCACCCGTGTCTGCAAGGACTGGGCAGGACACGCTGCTGGGAGATGTGGCCTGGGGAGGACGAGAGGATGGACAGACAGGGGACACAGGTGAGGCAGGCCAGGTGCACGGCGTGTGGTGAGAGCCCAGGTGACAACAGACCTGACTGGGCATTACATCAGGGATGTGAGACCTGCATGGCCAGCAGAGCAGACGCACAAATGCAGATGGCACGAGAGGTGGCTGGGAGTGATGGACACCAGCATGGCCCTGCTGTCCCTGCCCCAGTGCCCACCTAACCCCCAGGAACACAGCCACAGCCCCCTCCCAGCACCCCCCTGTCCCAGATGGCTGCTGGGGCACATCTCTGCCTGCACCCCGTGTCCCCCCACCGCGCCAGGGGGTGATGCCCTACCCGAGACATTGATGGGGACAATGTTGGTCTGGATGGAGCCGGGCTGGTGCCACTGCTTCTCCTCCACGGGGGGCAGGGGGAAGGCCCTGGGCCAGGGGGGCTGCTTGTCCGGGCTGGTGGGGAGGCTCAGGGAGGTGTCAGAAGGCCGAGCACCGAGCACGGTGCTGCTGGTGCTCTCCTCTTCGGCCGCTCGCTGGCTCGGGGGCTGCGGGGACAAAGGCACGTCAGCCACCGAAGGGACGAGGGAGGAACACAAACAGGGACTTGCTGCCCGCCCTGCCACCCAGAACTCACCATAAGCACGAACTCAAGGCGCTTGGCAGGTGGGGGTCGAGGTGATGGCTCGGGGGAGGTGTCGGGGGGCAGGTGCCCAGCAGCACGGAAGGTCTGCCCGGTGACCCTGCTCTCGGTGTACTGCTCCTCATATTCCTCTGCAAGAACAACAGCGCCTGGCACCCTGCTCCTGCTGCCAGATCTCGGAGCAGGGGGCACGTGAAGGGATGGTGACTGTCCCCTCTGGCTGTCCCCAGCCTAGCTGGCCATCCCTGCTCAGGACAGGCGGCTCAGAAGGAGAGGAACAGAGATCCCAAGGAGGGTCCGGGGGAACTGGAGAAGCCCAGAGATCCCAGCAGCCAGCCCCACTCCTCCCGGGGCACAGGCAGGGGATGTGGCGAGTCTCGTTGGGAAACAGCCCCAGTGGGGAGAGCCAGGAACTCAGTGTGTCCCCATCCTGTAATTGTTGAGCTAATTAATGCTGGTGGCTGTGGACTGGCGGAAAGCAAAGCTGCTCAGGCTGACTTAATGAGATTACAAGCTGGGGGATGGCTGGGCTGCTGATCTCATCTGATGCCTGAGGAGCATCCGAGGCAGCGCCGCGTGACAGCCCGGGCCAGAGATTGGACGGAAACAAAACCAGTGGCCACGCTGATCCAGTTAGGCAGATCAGCGGCAGGTCCCTGAGGCTGTCGTGAGATCTGTGCTGTGGTGGGGCTCGTGGGTGCCCTGGTGGCCCCAGTGGCCCCCGCAGGCAATCCTGGTCCCAGTTGCTTTGGCACCCGCAGCAGTGACTCGGGAGCAGAGATCAGTGAGGGGCTACTGGAGGCTGAGACCCCCAGGACCCAACTCCTGCAGCCTGGTGATGTCCGAGGAGTGGCTCAGTGAGTGGGAGATGGGCTCACAGTCCCATGGTGGCCACCTAGCCTGGGCAGCACCCACCCACCTCCCTCAGCCAGCCCAGCCCAGCCCAGCCCCTGCCCTGGCTACCTTGCAGCAAGCTCTGCAGGTTGAGCTGAGCCTCCTGGTGCAGCTGCTCCATGCCCGGTGGGCGCCCAGAGGCCAGGAAGACGTTCACGGGCTGCTGCCATGGCAGCTTGGCAGGGGCGGCTTTCTTGCTCTCGAGGTCCAGGTTAGAGGTGGCTGCAGGAGGGAGAGAGTGGGGTCAGAGGCAGGTGGGGGGCGGGTTCCCTGCGGGTGCTGCTGTGGGATAACTCGGTGCCAGCACAGTGCCCATCCCAGCCCGGCTCTCCGGGAATGCCAGGATCTGGCTGTGTCCCACCCTGGCAGGCTGCTGCCCGCTGGGACCAGCCCTCATCGCTGCCACCATCCCTGAGGGCTGCCAAGAGGGAGCTGGCTGAAATTGGGGAAGGAAGCCAGCCCTGCCACCCGTGCCTAACCGCGCCCGGGCGCAGGAAACGCTGCAGGCGCTGATGGAGCAACATCCTGGCTGTGGAGGAGCAGAAGTTGCAACTGAAGGGCAGGAGCCAGGGACCCGACTCTTCATTGCACTGCAGCTCGGGGCTCACGTGCCCTGGCACGGCACGGACACCCCCGAAGCTCTCCAGGGAAGGAAACCTCTGTGAGGACTGCTCAGACCCTCTGAAAGCCCCCAGCGGGTGGAAAAGTCCTGGGAGCAGGATGTGGGCTCAGCAGTGCAGTGGCCCTGTGGGGAGCTGAGCGCTGCTCCCACGAACAGGCTTTGCCATGGGAACCCTGCAGTGCTCCGAGTGATGGGGGTTTGTACCCAGCGTGGATTCCAGGGAGTGCCACCACGGGCACCGTCCACGCCCTGGCAGGCACTGAGCGGGTCTCTGTGAGCTTTACAGGGGGACATGGATGAGCAGGGTCTCATCCCTGGCCATCCAGGGCTCATCCTCATCTGCATGGTCCCTGTCCCCATCCCCACCAGCTGAGACTCTCTGATAACCAGAGTGTGACGAACAGTTCCCCTCTGCCACACACCACTGCCCTGCTGCCAAAGCCTGCTCCGTGCCAGGCCCCAGCTGAGGCTGCAGAAGCAATTCCACGTCCTGGGAAGGGGAATGGCCCCAAAACAGGCGTGGCACCCCCAGCACAAGCCCCATTTCACTCTGCCCCCAGTGGTCAGGCAGCTGTGGCCCAGCTCACCTGCTGTGCACCCTGTGCATCCCCTCTGCTGCTCACGGTGCCCTCCTGCCCCAGGTGCCCTCCTGCCCCAGGTGCCATCCTGCCTACAACACTCCCGTGCCCCTGGGCGCCCTCATGCCCACCCTTCCCCCAGCTGATGGAGCCTGCACAACGCCCAGCACCCCAAAGCAAGGTGCCATGTCCCCAGCCTAGTTACTTTTATAATTTGTTTCCATAACGACGGGCCTTAACACTGGGTTTTTTCCTTTTTTTTTTCCCCTTCTTCCTCCTCTAAATAATTTGACTTGTTTCCATACCAACCAAGTGGTGTTGGGGCGCATATGTGCATGTGTGTGCCATGCACAGGGCAAGGCTGGGCATCTCCCCAAAAATGTGACCCACAGTGCCAGGGGCAGAGACCACACCTTCACCTCTGCAGACCCCAGAGCCCAGGACCTGCTGTTTTTGGTGAGATGGGGGATCCAGTGCTGCCCTGCCATTTCTGAGAGCACCCCAAGGGCGCACCCCTAATCCTGGCTCGCACAGCCCCAGCCTTTGGCCTCAGCACCGCGGATGCTCCTCACCTTCTGCCCATGCATCCCCCAGAGCCGCCCGCAGCCAGGGCTCAGGCCCCTCCTGAGCAGCCCCTGCCGCCCTCCCCAGAGCACGGCACTCACCTCTGCACCTCGGCCCTGCTGCCAAGTCACCCCAGCACCCACCCGGGCGCCGACCACGTGGGGAAACCACAGCATCAAACCCGGGGCCGCCCTGGGCGCGGCGGAAACGTGGCAGCACCCACGCCCAGCACCCTGCCCTGCTGCGGGGGAGAAGGGGAACGCGCCGTGCCGGGGTTCTCCCCGTGGAGCTCCCCCCTTTGCTGCCACGTGCTCCTTTGGGGCTGTGAGTGACACAGCCCAGTCCTGAGGCACTGCTGAGCTGCTGGCATTGCCAAGGTGCTGGCATCACCACGGCACGGGCATCGTGGGTTCCATCTCCCCGGCTGGGGACAAGGGCTGGGGGCAGGAATGGATGAGCCGAGCACTCTCCTGGCACCCGGATGTCCCAAACTTGCACCACAAGGACAGCACTGAGCCAGAGTGAGCGGCACCCTGGGGCTTTGTGTCCCTGGGAGCAGCCGCTCCGAGGCTGTTCAGGGAGCAGTGGCTCTGAGGGTTTTGGGAGCGGCACTCCCAGCCCAGCACGGCACACAGCTCGGCGATGGGGTGATCAGCAGTCCTGACTCAGTGCCACTGCCACACTGCTCCCAAGGGACGGGCAGTACTCGGGGGCAGCCTGATCAGGCTCTGTTCAAGGGCAGGTCGTGAGTGCCCAAGGAAGCCCAGCTGGCACCCCCATCTGTGGGCACGGGGTGCCCCAGGCACGCGGGAGTGCCGGGCAGGAGAGCACAGCGGCTGGCCCGGACAGCTGAGCTGAGCGATGCCCTTGGCAGTGACCTCCTGCCACGCTTATCAGAGACAGGCTCCGAGCTCAAAATACCTCCGAGGGGCTCCCAGCCCCTGGGGAATGCCTGCGGGAGATGAAGGGACAGCGGAGCCTGAGACAGCTCCATGCCACAGCCCCAGCGTCTCCACTTGAGCCTGGCCAGCCCTGCTGCTGGGGAAACTGAGGCACGGCTGGTGAGGGTTCACCATGCTCCCTGCTGGCCCCAAGGCGTGCAGGGGGGAGCAGGCAGCATCCCCTGCTCTGCCTGTCGATGGACACCTGCCCGAGGTGTTCCCAGAGTCAGCACCATCAGCTGGACGCAGCGGATGCTGCAGCCTCGCAGCCCTGCTGAGCGTGAGCCGGTGCCCAGGCTCGGCGTGCCGTGGCCATGGCGGGTACACAAGGACTGAGGCTGAATTCCAGGGAAGTTCGCTTGAAGGGGGGCTGAGCTCCGCTCTCTCCTGCGGGAACAGCATCCCTGCAGGACCCGCAGCCCCTCGGTATCTCCTGAGCCACCCCTGCTCCATGCCAGCATCCCTACTCACCCACAGCCCAGGCATCCCGAATCCACAGCGAGATATTTGACAGAGCCATCGGAGCTCTTTCAGTCCAGGCCGAAGCTCCTGTGAGACGACGCCTCTCGCTTGAATTCACCGCCAAACTTTTCCCTCTCAGGCTCGCTCCCCACGCGCAGGAGGTGCCGGGGGCGCGTCTGGAGCCGCTCGGACCCTCGGTGCCAGCGTGGAGCAGTGGCAGCAATGATGTAACAGCAGCAGCAGGCGATGCGCCATCAGCACAGCAGCCATGGCAACAGATACAGGCACCGCGGCTGCTGCCGCCGGCCCGGAGCACCGGGCACGCCGGAGGGGAGGGCAGCGAGCCGGGGCCGGGGCCGGCACCGATGCCGAGCCCGCCGGCCCGAGCCGTGTGCCGCAGTGCCCGAGCCGTGCGCCACCGCCTTCCGGCCACTGCCACCGCCTGCCCGCGGTGCTGGGCTGCTCCCGCCGGCTTGGGGACATGGCCGTGCCCGGAGCCAGGCGCAGGCTGCTCCGCGGCGAGCGCAGAGGAAGTGAGAAGAGCGCACAGAGGGAGCTGGCAGAGGCTGCAGAAACACCTCCTGTCCCAAGCTCACCCCCCGCCGAACCGGACCGGCTCCCTGCGGGACGCGGAGCCGCGGGCACGGCAGCCCCGGGGCCGGATGCCCGGCCAGGTCTGAAGGGAATCCTGGAGGGACACCCTGCTGACACCGCCAGGGCCAGCGCCACAGGGCAGCGGTGCTCACTGAGCAGAGCTGCCCCGTGTGCCCGGGATGAGCCAAGACACTGTGCCATGTCCAAACCCAAGCCTCTCCAGGACACCTCCCACTGTCACATGTCTGGTGGCACAGCTCCAATCCCCACCTGCACAGGTGTCCGACCTGCTGGTGGTTGAGGCCGGGGGGCTGGGAGCCTTTCAGGGGTGCCATGCCCAGACCCCACACCAGGACCCTGGCACAGCACGTCCCCCAGCTCTCCCCGGGTGCCCAGCAGGACCACAGGCACTGAGAAACAACACACCGGATCTGCCAGGGGTTTTCTGCTCTTCCAGCCTCCCTGTTTAACAGGGAATCAGCTGATTTTTGTGCTGATGGGAGATAAGGGCATTGCAGAAGTTGCTGGCGGCAGGGTGGATTTGGCAGCTGTGGGGTCCCTCAGCTCGTGGGGGGAAGACTGGATTATGATTACGTGAGGTTTCCAGGAAAACCACGAGCAGCAAACCAGTCAATGAGGTCCCTGTCCCTGGGCAGGACTCAGAGCTGCAGTGTGCGAGGACATTCGGTCCCAGCAGCGCCACGGGCCCTGGTCAGGGGTTTTGGCAGGAGGGGAGGTGTGTGTGCTACAGGATTTGGCCAGCAAGGCTGGCCCAGGAGGAGCCCAGTGTGCCATCGGCCTGTGCTGTGGGGATGGGAACTGCCCATGGCCATACTGGCACCAGGGCCTGGCCAGGGACCTCACCAGCCAAGGTGGACTCAGGCAGCTCAGGGGCTGAGATCCACTGCTCCTGGGGCAGAGCAGCAGCACTGGGGCAGGCACCGGAGCCCCAGAGTCTGGCTGGACCCGGATTCCTGCACCAAACCTGCCGTGGCTCCCTGGCAGCCTCCTCGTTCTGCAATCCTCACTCTCCCGTGCTTCCCAGCAAAACTCCAGCCACAAGCCTTTCCTGAGAGCCTCGGGAAGCGTGGCATGGCAACCTGTGAGACCCAGCCGGTCCTGGCAGCCCAACATCACCGTGCCATGGCCAAAGGAACCACTGGGCACAGGGTGGCCACGGCGGCTGCCGTGACGCCCCCAGCCTGGCTGGGACTGCTCGGTGGCACATGGAAGCCCAGGCAGTGCTCGCCACTCTGCCCGGCGTGGGCTGCCTGTGCCAGAGGCTGCTTCCAGAGGGTCCCTCCAGGAAAGCTCAGCTTCCCCTGTGCCTGGCTGGTTTTACACTCCGGGGCCGGGACAATGTGAGGAAGTCGCCTGAGAGGGGAATGCGGCCAGAGGCCCTGGGACAAAGGGGCTGAGACCTGAAATCGGCTACGGCAGGAGCGAGAGCAGTGACAACAGCGAGGCTCCTTGGTGTCTGTGATGTTTGTGTCCACCCACGGTCCCATGGTCCCACGTTCCTCCCTCCTGCTGCCACCAGCCTGTGGAAGCTGCCGGGAGGGCACAGTACCACGGGGACGGGCAGGATCTGTCCCTGCAGCACTGATGGGTGGTCGGTGGCACACGTGGGCTGGGAGCCTCTGTCTTTCTCTTTGCTTTGTCAGAGCAAGGACACCCCACTAGGCTGCGGAATGGCAGAAGGATTTACAAGGGACAGGGACACTCCACAGCTCAGGCCAGTGTGGGAAAGGTGGCACAAGACTGGCTCTGCTGGGCAGCCCTGACCCCAGGGACTACTGCATGGCCTCCCGAGGGTCTGTGCCCAAGAGCTGCCCCCAGCCCGGGGTCCTGCCCTGCAGGGTGAGCAGTGCCTGCAAATCCCACCGCCCCCACTGCCCCCTCAGCCCTGCCCTGCTGCCTGTCTTACCTGCCCGCTGCCAGGGTGCCAGGAGCCACTCCACCTTGGCCATGGCTGTGAGTGCAGGGGGAGGCCGCTTGCTCCGGCCAGCGAGGAGCTCCTGCCTCGAACCAGGCTGGGAGCACTGAGCTTCCCCCGTCCTGCTGCCTCCAGCTCCAGCGGGGAGAGGAAGCGACCAGGAACTGAGTGTTTGAGTCAGCGCCACAGCCCATTGTCCTGGCCCCGGCCCCTCTTCCTTCCCCGCGGAAGGACGGTGCAGGGACCGCGGCTCTGCACAGCCCATCCCACATCCACCCGCCCAGGAATGCTCAACCCTCTGCGTGATCCCTGCTGCAGCACCTGGAGAGGGATGCTACAGCCAGGACTCCCCGAGCTGGACAGGTGTTCACAGAACCAAAATATCCCCCAACTGTGGCTGGAGCACCCTCTGAGAGTGGTGGGCTTGTCCTCCCAGCAGAGCATGGCTCTTCCTACATGGAACAACCACGAGACTCCTCGTGGGTAAAGCAGCACCTGGAGCCTGTGGCTGCCCCCAGCCCGGCTGAGCCACTGCCCACCAGCTCCCCCAGTCCCTACAGCAGACAAAACCAGAGCCCTTCTGAACCCCCTGGCTCTGAGCTGGGAGCTGCCGGAGCTCTCAGAGCTTCGTCTCACTCCAGCTCCGTCCAAAGCCTGAAGCAAAGGCTCCTCGGGGACCACTTTCCCAGTGCCCCAGGGCTTTGTAAAGCTGCGCTGGCTTCTCCCAGAGGATGGAGGCTCCTGGGAGCCAGGGCTGCAGCAGAGCCAGGAACGCTGCCCCAAGCGCGGGCTTCATTCAGGAACATCCCACACCACCAGCGACCCACACCCACCACAGGGCTGCTCCTTATGGAGCCTCAGCTCCCTCCCTTGGCAGATACGCTCCAGCCGGGACCTGCTGCCGCCTCTCTGCATGGAAGCATGTGTGCAAGTGCCCAGGAATGCCCCAGGCACTGAGGTCCCGGGCAGCCCTGGGAGTGTCCAAGTATTTGCTCGTGCTTCGCACCCAAGATGGGTTTTGAGCCATGCAGTGCCAAATCCCCCTCTCCCTGCCCCCTGCTAGCAGCCAGATGCAAGGAGACCAGAGGGGACCTGAGGGAGATCTGCTGGAGATCTCCAGGCTGGCGGGGAGCTGTGACCTGAGCACAGAGATGAACCAGCTCTGACCTAGCCTGGCCCCACACCCCCCCCGGCCCTTCCCGCAGTTCCAAGAGTTCCTTTGACAATCCAGAAGTGTGATCAGTTCTCCCTCGGAGTGGCACCAGCTGGGAGAGGCAGGCAGGGAGCAGAGCAGCATCCGATGCTCTGGGCACTGCTCATCTTCCCTGCCTGCAAATGGGAGCGCAGGGCTCTGTGCTGGGCAGCAGCTGGCACAGCATCCCTCAGCCCCCACGACCTGCAGGCCAGCACCCGGTGGGCACTGCCTCCGGGTGGGGAATGGGCCAGCACCCCATGGTGCCTCTGAGCCCCACAGCCCAACCACTGCCCACTTCCCGTGCCCCACGAGGGGAGCCAAGGGTGATGTGATGGATACCGAGCAGCCTGTATCTCTCACCCCTCTGACCCGCAGCTGAGCCTCTCTCCTGCTCCCCTCCTGTGCAACCCCAAGTTCTTGTGCCCCATTTCAGTGCTTTGCACCCACTGCTACAACAGCACTTGCAGAATTAGGCAGCGTCAGGCTGTGCTGCCACCCTCTCTGCCCACTGATTATTAAGCTGTGACAGTCATTCGGGCTGTGACAAGCAGTCCCCATTCTCCTGCAGTTTCTAAGCAATCTTGCCGAGGTCTCTCCCAGGGCTGGCAGTTCCCTGCTGCTGCCCACACCGCTGTGTCCTGCTCCCAAGCCAGCAGGCAGGGAAAGGGCAGCAGGAGCCAGGGCCAGCAGAGCCCAGCGTGCTGCACTCCGGGACTCCAGGGCTCTGATGGGCCTGGTGCCAGGAGTTGTGGCAGACTCCAGCTCCCAGCTCCTCTGGCATTCCCAGGAGCTGGGCTGGAAGAAGAGCTGGAGCACTGGGGAGGGTGGCTGAACTGCCCTGAACTACATGGGGACAAAAGAGTGACCAGACAGGTCCTGCTTGTCTGACCCTGCTTCCTCAGAGGGCGCCTGCCCTCCGTGCCCGCTGCCAGCCCCAAGTGAGTCCTCTACTCCCTCTGCTCCCCCTCAAGGAGCTGCCTGCAGAGCTGCAGGGCTGTCCGCCCCCCCGAGATGGTTTGTGGTGCAGGAGCCCCCGACACCCACCACACTGCGATGTGTGGGAGCAGGAGCTGGGGCGCGGGGGCTGCACAGCACTGGGCTCCCTGCCTGGGGGGGCCAGCTCCGGGGACAGCAGCTACAGGGGCTCCCCACTGCCGGGGCTGGCTCCTACACCTCGGGCTGCACCCCTGTCCCCAGGCTGGCTCCCACACCTTGGGGTGCAGCCCCGTGCCCAGGGCTGCTTTCCCACACCTTGGGATAGGATTCCCATGCCCAGGGCTGGTTCCCCACTGCATGGGGCTGGCTCCTGTACCCCGGGGCTGGCTCCCCGCCG